AGCGGACTCAGTGCTGGAGGCCGTCGATGGCGGTTGGAGGGGGCAGCAGCGGGCCGACAGTCTGTGAACCGGGTGCCAGAACAGCCTTTCCTCTGTTAATTGCTATTGTACCATACTGTTGTTCCAGTTGTAGCTCCTTTCAGTCGCTTCCTGTTTCTTTCTCCCAGCTAACATGACTCAGATCTTGGCTCAACACAGGCATTGACTGATATCAGTCAGATCTCTGAGTGTAAAGTTTGATGCTTTTAGTGTTTTTATTTTTTCATGCTTATGTGTTCACAAAAGAAATCAGTACGTCACTCTGAGGCCTTAAAAACTTCAAGATCTCTGAATTTCTACAAATTATCAATACATTCCATTAAGCTTGGATTTGCCTGTGAGAAAATTTCGCTTAATAAAAAGGATTTGTCATTTTTTTATTGTCAGTGAAAAATTTTCATATTATTAAATTTTGATCATTCTGATTATGCAAATTATCCTTATTTTAGTGCATTTTTTGAATCAGTTTAAATTAGAGATTGAAATGATTCACTTGTAGATAAAGATTATGTATTTTTATGTAAAAATTTTTATTAAAATAATGTTTTTTGTTTTGTTTACAGTTAGCTCTATGGCTTTGCATGAAATATGCAGCTTTTTAATTTTACAACTTAAGAAGGTGTAAAAGGATTTGGTTTTCATCTGTTTCGATTCGTTTAAATTTTGTTAAACCCGGGAGCCCTATCTGACCTATTGACCTCTTGGAGAAGAAACCTGATCCCCAATCTGGGCTTCTCCAACAATCACGATGGATTTCATATCTGCACTCTGGACCAAACCTGCTCACCAAATTTTAGATCTGCTTCTTTCCCCATCCAGTTCATCAAACACTTGGAGCCTATATGATCCACTTCCTCAGAAGAATCATCTGCTTTAGCTCTCTAGTCCAAACTTTTCCCCTCACTGTTGAGACACTGTTCTGATTATTAAGGTCTTAAGCTGATCCAGTCTCCTGAAAGAACGGAGGGTCGGCAGGCAGAACCTGCAGAGAACTGTGGTTATGTGTCCATGTTAGGTTAATTAGTTATTCTATATACAGTGAATGGATGAATATTTATCAGTTCCTCCAGGATTTGCCATTGTTTTTGTAATAATGTTTTTTGTTGTTGCTTTCAAAATCATAAATTTTGTGTTGATACTTTGGAAATATTTCCAAGGAATTTTGTAAAAAAAAAAATTGACATAAAAAGGAAAACAATAAGAACAAAATAACAGACAAGCAGGAATATTTCTATTGCTTAAAGAATATAAATAATTACTCGCCATCACGGACTCATCAGTCACCCAACCCTATGTTTTTGACCATTTTTGCAGAACGTTTGGAATAAAATCACAATTACTGCATTAGTGGAAAAAAAACCCAAACTTTTTTGTTTGACTTTTACCGTGAAATTGCAAAAAAACCTGTAGGGACTGATTCAGTCATTTATTTTAGCAAAATTAATGACATTCACATGGAGGTTGTAGTGATCCGTGAACAAATACATTAAACTTTTTCATTGGTCAAAAGTTTCAACTTACTTTTTCTACATTTTTCATCCTCACTATATTAAATGGTTTTGGCAGTAGTTAGCAGAACATTTGTAATACGGTAACTATCCCATATGTCTAACAGTTGTCAACGCAATCATAGATAAATTTTTTTTTAAAATGCCTGGAACAAATATTATTGAAAGAACGAATGTGCTTTTAACAAGCGCTCGCATGCAGTAAATGACGAGATGGCCGTTCTCTGACAGTTTGCAGACAGCCCAGATGGCCCCTCGTTGACATACGGTTTTCATCCACGCCTTGGCTCCGACTGTCCTCAGTGACCCAGTGCTGCATCAGTCGTTAGACTTTCCCTTGTGATCTGATTTACTGTTCTGTGGGGAAGCACTTTTATTTTGGTCCAGCAATCTTTCAAAGGGAGTGTCATCTTTCTTACATGGCTCTGCTTGGCAGGGTATTTTTAGCAAGCAATCGCTAAATGATGCCTCTGTCTCACTGATTGTATGCCATTACTAACTTTCATCCATTCAGGCACTGTCTGTTTGGGATTTTCTTTCTTAAACTGTGCGGTAAAAAAAAAAAAAGTCACCCATCTTTAATCTCTAAGGTCAGATTCTCTGTTGATTCCGTCACTTTTTTGATTTCTCTCTTTGGCATCTCCCATACTGCTGCCTCACTCCGGCCCCTGCTTTTCTTGTTTGTTATAAATATATCACGTTGGGTTGGCTAGATAGGATAGGGTTTCCGTTAGGGACCGGAGCCAGTTCTGCTCCTTTTTGCTCCCTTGGTATAAACAGGTGAGCTGTGGACCCTGTTGACCTTTCACCATTGCCCACATGTTCATGAAAAAGATCGAAGTGCTCTGGTTTCATCCGTGCCTGCAGTGTACTCCCCACTGCGTGGTGAAGGGCAGTAAAAACACAGGCATCTCCCTTATTGTGGAATTCAAAGCATGCTGTGGATAGCATTGAGTATTGAGTGTCTTCTTCTTGACTCCAGGTGTGTTGGGGGGCAGAAAGGCGGGACGTTAATAACCGTTTTCGCTAGATTAAGTTTGTGTTTTTTGCGTTTAGAGCTGTTTTCCACATGCCCCTACCTGAGAGGTTTCTTTCTCAGGGTGGACGGAGGAATGTGTGGAATTTCCCATGTGCCTTCATCCCATCTGATAAACAGAACTGTGAGTGGGTGGACATTGGGTGGACAAAGTCAAGACTATACATGTGCCCACTCCTGCAAGAATGTGTATAATGTCAACACAATACTGTACCACAGTGTGACCACAGTTATGTCCACTGTAAGTCTGCATATTGTTTGACTCAAGTCAGATGAAGTCGTTTGAAATAATTTGATCCAGTCGTTTCATTTTTGATGACAGTTTTATTCCTTTAGACCGCTGCACAATCAGCCATTGAGTCAGGATGCTGTTAGGAGAATTGGACTTTGTCCATTGTGGCTGCTACACACTGCCCACCCCCCGTCTGGAATGGAAAAGATTAGACCGATACTTGGCCCACACTGCTGTTTGGATTGTTGATGCTTTTAGGTTTCTGTAAGTTTGAGACTTTTCTGTATTAGTGTTTGTTGTCTTTCATAAAGCAAAACAAATCGACAACATTTCATGTCTACACGCATACTCAAACCTCTGCAAAGGGCAGTCTGGTTTTTAAATGTAATATTATTATAATCATTTTTTTTTATTGGTTTTGGTCCAAAAATCATTTTGGGTCATTTACTTTCCTGTTTTACCAAGAAGGACTCGTTGTTATTGTTGGTCAGATGTTTTATCACCATGTTTTTCTGGTCTTTGAAAGTTGGGAGCTAGATCATAGTGACATTATGTGATGTTGTTTCCTGTCTGATCAGTTCATCTCCATACTTTGGCAGCTGCAGGAAGTTTTCTTGTGGTTATGTAGTTTTTTTAGCCCTCGCAATTCCACTTGACTCTCATCATCCTTCAGTGTCTGGGATTTCTCACACCATTTCTCAAGTCCATTCAGGGAACAGAAGGAGATGTTGTAAACAATGACATTAATTTTCTTGGATTTGCACAAGTATGTTTTTGACCACAACTAAAGGTAGTAGTTTAGAAAAACAATTGTAAGAAGGACAGAATCAATTGTTCCTAATTTATAAATAAATTTGCTGTTGCTTCTGCATTCAAGAGGAGCATGAAAAGACTGATCAGCGATGAGTCTAAAAACAAAGTCTTATCTTACAAACTGATGTCGTTTAGCTGAAACAACTAAGATCAAATTAATGATTCCCATATGATCAGTATTTCAGTTTAGCCGTGCCAAACTGAAGTCATTTCAAAATCCCTTTTCTCTCTTTGTCATTGGTCATAATGTCTTTCTGAATCAAGTTTCAGTGAAGTGCAGGACAAACTAAATTCAAATTTCTTTGACTTGTTTGAAATATGAAATATAAAATTTTAAGATTTCAGGAAAAGTGAAGAACTTTGCATGTTGATGAATGTTTTTCTTTTTCACACATTTTTTCCTGCAATTTTATACTGCATTGTATTACAGGAACATACATTTTGGCTCAAACTTCTATAAGAAAAAATGTTTGATTAAGAATGTTAATAAATAATTGATACTTTTTTTGGAAAAAAACCCGTGTAATTTAAAAAACAATGAATTATTAGAAATGACGACTGTAGACTAATACAAAACACATTTATTTCTCCCTTTCTTAAATTTTAAATGGCTTATTTTGTCTCTGTGAAACTGAACCCTAATCATTGGTTGGGCAAAATTTGAAACCCATTCCTCAAGTTGACCAGGCTAAGCTATTGTTACCTCACAAGTTGTGAACATAGCTTGGCTGTCTACGTTTTAACTTTTTAAAGTGTACAATTATTATCCATTCATTGTCTGTCTTGCAGAGTTTCTTAAAAAGAGTTTGAAGATATCAAACAATTTATGATGACTTGGCGAATGTTCTGGAACAGCAGTCAGGTTTTCTAGTTCACTACAGGGAATCAAAAATAAACTAATTGGTTTGTCGCAAATGATCGTCCTGTAAGTCATTTAAACTTCCCCTGAAACACAAGACGAACATAAAGTAGCTAGAACTGCATATTGCATCAAATAATTATATTGTACTATCAGTGTGTGCAATATTGTAATTTTGCCAGTTGCGTGTTACTTTCTCGAATGGCTGAGATGCTAATGCTCATGAATACTGGTTGAGTCAATATGAAATATCAAAAAAGAAAGGAAAATGAAAGATAACTGTGAGTTACCTTACAATTTTCAGCAAAAGCATCGTGATTAAATATTCTTCTGAAATCATACATACAACTACATGGAAAACTTTATGGTATTTTATATGGAAATGGCTTTTCCAATCTGAACAGAACAAGTGAGAGGAATGTCTCCGCTGTGATTGGTGGACAGTACAGCACAATGTCACCATGGATCCTTATGACGACGCAGCGAATGTTCTGGAACTGCAGTCGGGTCTTCTCGCAGTTCAGCTTTCATTACAGAGAATCAACTCAGGCCTTTGACACACTTCCCTCTGCGCTGGGAAAGCAAGCATTTCTGGTTAGTGTTGGAAAAATGCAAACATGGATAACCTATGGAGTCGTGAGCAAATGGTTCACCTCTTTGAAATGTATGAGAAGGAGCTGAACATTCTTTGTGGTGAAAACGAAGAACTCCACCATCAAAATGCAGAAATAAGAGTCCACTTCAGGAAGAAGCTTGAAGCGGAGAGGAAGAAGAACATGGCTCTGAGTCAAGAAATTGACAAACTTAAAGAGCTCCAGGATGCAGAGCCCAACAAAGCCATTGGTCGTAAGTTGGTTTCATACTGTCAGCTGCAAGCACTTTTGTTTATGGTGTAGAAGATAACCAGTCTGCTGCTTGTACCTTGCCTTAAAAGTAGAAGAAGTTTTCACTCATGTTTTCCAGAACTGATTCGCCAGCTCCAGGTAGAAACTAATCTGCGGCTGAATGTGGAGGCCAAAGCTGAACGGGCTGTTCAAATCGCAGCCCATTTTATGCACAAACTGGAAGAAATCCATAATGTCTGTCAAAAATGTCCAGCCTCAATCCAGATTCCCAGTGCAAATCTCAAAAGAGGAGTGGATGACATCAGTGGAGAACTGCTGGAGTTGAAGCTGATGCTTCGGAATGAAAAAGAACCGAGAGCTCACAAAGGCACCCACGGGCCTGCGGTCTTTACGCACATAAAGGTTTCATCTGAGGTCCTGAACCACATCGGTGAAGAAAAGCCCAACAGCTACATGGAGCTGAGGAAAGAAAGGGACAAACTGCTGCAGGAGATCCTGGCGCTGCATCAACGGGTATCTAACCTGAGGGATGAGATTGAGTGGAACGGCCTGAGAGAATTCGAGATTCTGGAAATGCTCTGTCGGGAAATATCAGGGTTGGAAATGTTGGAGAAGCAGCATCTTTGCCAGGACATGTCTTGTGACGAGGACAGGGCGAAGGCAGAGGCAATGAAGTTTGCAGAGTCCTTGTGAATGCAATGTGTGCTTAGAGCAGTAAGCTGTTGTGTAAGTGAACAGCCAACACACTTTTATAAAGAATTAATTTATAGTTCTGTGTTCACACATCCAAAATGAACTAGCTTACTACCTTTTATCTACTTTCCATCAGCTGCCAGCCTGGAGCAAATAGAAGAGCAAACCACTGACTCATGAAGAAGCTGAGATTTCTGAACTCTAATAGATAACCTTCCATTGTCTGCCTGTACTCAATATTTCTCTGGTCATAAAATAAAACTATCAATCTGTGTTGTGAAGATTTATTTCTTTCTTCACTGATTCATTATTTAAAATGGAATCATTATCTGTATTTAGTATCATTTAAATGAAACAATTGGATAAGAAGAGTTGGACATCTATCAGTTCAGAAGCTTAGATCTAAACTTTTTTATTCTTTAAAGGGACAGTACTTTTTTCCATAAACGGGAATCAGGTGGCTTGCTCATAAAGTCTGCAATATTTACTTCCAACAAAAATCATTGATTCTATACAGGAGAATTTGTTTATGATTTATTTATTTTTGCACAAAATGGAGTAAATATTTGCCACAGACTGCTAAGAGAGACAAAACAATTTAAAATAATCAATCAGGGTCCCGGGGGTAGCAGCTTCAGAAGGGAGACCCAGACTTCCTTCTTCCCAGCTGTTTCTTCCAGCTCCTCTGGGGGAATCCCAAGGCGTTCCCAGGCCAGCCGAGAAACATTGTCCCTCCAGCGTGTCCTGGGTCTTCCCTGGGGTCTCCTCCCGGTGGGACGTGCCCGGAACACCTCATCAGGGAGGCGTCCAGGAGGCATCCTGACCAGATGCCCGAGCCACCTCAGCTGGCTCCTGTCGATGTGGAGGAGCAGCGGCTCTACTGAGTCCCTCCCAGATGACTGAGCTTCACCCTATCTCTAAGGGAGAGCCCAGGGCTCTCCCTTAGAGATAGGGTGTTTTAGTTGCACATGAAGTAGTTCTGTTAATCAGCTATGAGGCATCCTCCTACGGAGGAAACCCATTTCGGCCGCTTGTATCCGTGATCTCGTTCTTTCGGTCATGACCCAAAGCCCATGACCATAGATAAGGGTTGGAACATAGACCGACCGGTGAATCGAGAGCTTCACTTTTTGACTCGGCTCTCTCTTCACCATGACGGACCGGTACAGCGCCCGCTTCACGGCAGACGCTGCATCAGTCCGACTGTTGATTTCCCGAGATACTTGAACTCCTCCACTTGGGGCAGGATACCCCTCTGACCTGGAGAATGCACTCTACCCTTTTCTGGTTCAAGACCACGGGTGTGAACTAAGCCTGTATATTCAAATCCTTCATATAAAGTTATTTATAGCTCATAGTATTAGAAGGTATATTTCTCCTTATATTCCTTTTTATAAATGCACAGAAAACAACGCCCCACCCATTATTATTACCCAGCTCTAGGTAATAATGAAACTAAATAACGATGTGTTACATCAACGATAACAGATATGTCAAACTAAATAATTCACTTTCATATAGCTATGTGCAATTTCTGGAGTGTAAAACGTGTGTTTTATGTTGTTAATATAAGCACCAGCTATGCTGCCTAAGCTAAACAAAAATAGTCGTCAGTAAATAATCTATTAAAGTTTCTATTTACATTTCAAGCTACATCACACAGGACTGCTTGAATGTAATATTTATTAGGCTGTAGTGCATTACACTCTGCTTTACAGTAACATATTCAGCCATTTTCTCATCCTTCATGTTATCTGATGTGCAGTAGATCTAAGCGACCCCAAGGAGAAAGGTCAGACACTGTGATTATGGAAAAGGAGAACATAGAGAAAAATGTGGGTTATTATATCGTTATCGCAATGTTCCATGGTAATATGGGATTGTGATGTTTTCCTGATACTGTGAAGCCCTGTTAACCTTTTCCTAAAGACTATTTTTTTTTAAAATATTTTCAAAAACATGGCAGATGGATATTTGGATCATTTTTTTAGGACTAGTGGTAGTATCATTATCTTGGAGTAATTCTCACATACATAGAATGAATGTTCAACGTGCAAAATAATTCATTTAACAATACTTTATGTACCCAAAAGAAATTATTTTGTGTTACGCCAGCATTGTGTGTTTCTTCACAGGGTTGAATTAGCATAAATGGCCTAAACAGTGAGTGATCTGCATGGGACATTCTCTTGATTTTAATTAATTTACCATATGTAATTTAATAAAATAATAAAGTACATGTTCATTGAGGATATGGTGTGTTTTTATCCCAGAAATTTCCTTGAAAATCTTTTCTGATGGCACCAGATTCTTACAAAGATTACATTAAAACAATGACAAAAGTAAGAAGTTAACTTTTCATACTTCTAAAAAATTCATCAGAGTTTTCTTTAAGAAAAACTTTGAATATTTCCAGATATTTACAGTCACTGCTGTGTCATATCAGCAGCCGATGGTGAGTTTGGAGAACTTTGCTTTGTCTGCAAGTCCCTCTGCAGTCCTTGGACAGGATTTCCGTCCTTTCTGCTGAGGCCAACAGGAACTTTCTAGGAATTTAGTACAACAAATATAGCAAGTCCAAAAGCGTGTTTTAATTTGAAAACCTTGGTAAGAGAAATATGATTCCACAGCTACATTTAGATCGGTGCATTTTACGACTCAACTTTGTCCTAAAACCACTTGTGGCATTTTTCTATCTGCGGGCTTTGTTTTATGAGTGACAAAGTCAATTTAAGTCGGGCCTCGTTTAGCATGTCAGCACCAGGTGCAGATTATTTTGAGCTGGTCTGGATATTTCAGCACATTTGCACAGACATGGTTACTCACTGAGCATACCGCTTTAAATAGGCCTGAGCTCCCACATGGTTTACGTCAAAGTGCAGGACAGAGGACGTTTGGCTTCTGGGCAGGATTCCCCTTTGGACCACAGATGGTGATGATGAAGAGTCGGGTTTAAATGAGGAAGTTCTTGTCTAGAAAAGTGTGAAATATTCTCTTTGTTAATCTTTGAACCACTTTCTACATCAGCGGAAAATAAAACTTTGCAATCATAAAGAAGTTCTAAATCGAAAACAAGTTTCTATGTTCTCGGATTGAAACGACGCTTCTTTTTTAAGCCAGTGTGAGCTTTGGATCATCTAAAGCATGATGTCAAAATAATGTCAAAAGCATTGTAGCATAACGGCATGCAGCTGGTGACGGCGATCTATTCTGGTCAGTCAGAGGCTGGCTGGATGGACAGACGGATGGTGTGATGTAAGGGTCTATTTTATTCTGGAGTTGCACCAAATTCTCAGGAGGATAACTTTGTACTCTCTCAACCCTGGACGCCATTCAGAAATGCTTTCTGCCTCCCTGCCTCTTTGTTATCAGACTGTCTTGGTAAGTTTGTATTCAGTCTCGTAAAGCTAAAAGGAAATCCACAGGTCAATAGAATGACTGTACAAATTTAATTGGAGAACGTAGCAGTGATTGTGGTTTTGACAAATCAAGAAGGTAGACTGGAGATTTAGTTGTAAATATTGGTCCAGAGGTACTAGAACCACATCAATGGAATGGCTGTGAAAACTACTAAAGAAACTGATTTGTTTATTTTTGCTTAGTTAACTCAGTAGTTTGGACAGCAAAGCTCTAAACTCATTTATATATAAGAGCACTACTTCATGTGCAACTAAAACAAGTTTCTGTCCAAAGCCTTCGACTGCTAATAACTATAATAAATAATACTGTGGAAACTGCTGTGTTGATTTTGTTGTTGGAATCACTGGGTCAGTAAATTCCCCTTTACATGAGGGAATTTACTGGCCGCCACCCCACAAATGCAGAACGTCCTCTTATAATTGTTCTGTTAATCAGCTATGAGGCATCTGATAAAATGACATAAAAGTATAAGGTTTGTTATTCAAATCAGATCTTTTTTTTTTTTTCTTTTTTGTAAAACTTTAATAACCTTCATGTGCTGATTTTTCCAATTTTACTGTAAGAACTAAGATTTTAAAATTTTTTAATAAGATGTTAAAAATATTTCAGAAGTGTAGACAAAGACTACCTTGGATATAAGGTAGTCTTCACAATTTTGTCCTTTAAACTGTTACAGAATTAAATAAAGTAGCTTGCTGTATTGCGCCTTCCTGTTACCTACTATAAAGCTCACTCTCTTGCAGCCTTGTTAAAACAAAAGCATGTCTGAAAATCTTATGCAAAAGTTTTCTTTTAAAGTGGATTCTACATCTCTAGGCTTTGTCTGACACCATCTACTGAATAAACCTGCTTAACTGGAAAAAATATAAGACTTTTAGGTTTTCTGACGCCTAATGAAACTGACAAATGTGGTCACTAAGCAATATCTCTGCATTAGATATATTTTTTTTATCTTCAGATGATTCTGTGCTTTTTCTGGTTTTCTTCAAATGGATCCTGGAGCAAAAAAACTACAAGTGTCTCCATGCAACTTTTTCACTTCCGAAACTATTGACATTACAGTTTTGAGTATTAGCCGATACCGATATTGACCCGATACAATTTCAGCATCATTACTTATTGTATGGTGTGATATTAATAATATTAGGTATGAGAACAACTGACCCATTTATTATTATTCAATGGCTTTATTCGGGACACAGATGCTGGGTAAATGCTTCTGTTGGAGAGTTTGTATGTAGACTGATACTTGTTGTTTGATACTGATGTCCTAAATCGGTCTTGGGTTGGGAACCTAATAAAAGTATTTTACATTTTCAGATGCGCTGCTTGCAGACCTAGAATCTACTACATCCCACATCTCGAAGCGGGCGGTGTTTCTGCCCGATGAGACCCCCTACTCCATTCCGACGGGCGGACTCCCCTACCAAGACGCGTCCGTACCGCCGCCGGTTCCACCTCCGCCTTCAGCTGATGCTCTGAACGGCTCCCTGACAGATCAACCAGACTCCCACCACTCCTCCCAACAGGTAGGTCTCCACTTCATCAGAGCATGAGGCGCTCTCTGGCTTTAAACCTAAAATGTTAACGACTTTACTCATCTGCTCCAGTCTTTAGGTTCGGCCCATAAGAGCTCGTGGTCCAGAGACAGCAGCAGTTCTCCGCTGTCACACATCGAAGAGGACCATGTTTACAGGTGTTGCTCCCGCTCTCTGAATGTCCTCTGAGTCAAGCAGACTACATTTCCGTTTACCTTTCAGTTTCATCTTGTGTGTTTTTCAGTTTTCCCAACAAACACAAGACGTCGGACTCATCTCCCGCAGCCATCACATCTGCCCTGGGCAGTAACCTCTCAGAGCTG